TGTATTCATATGGGGAAAGTTCATTTTGTGCTGCTATTGAAGAATAGCTGAGACTAGGAAATTCATAGAGCAGAAAATTATTTCTCACAGTTCTGGAGACTGGGATGTTCAAGTTCAAGGTGTCAGCATATGGTAAGGGCTTTTTCTTTGCTTTGGCGGACCATTTTGGCTTTTGGTCTTTTCTTTTCTTTTTTTTTTTTTTTTTGATTTTTTTTTAACTTCTTTGTGGTTGGGACATAAGGTCTCACTCTCTATCCCAGGCTGGCCTGGAGCTCATTCTGTAGCCCAGGCTGGCGTTGAACTTATGGCAGTCTTTGTGAAGGCTTGAGCCTCCACACCTGACTGGTAAGATTTTCTGACTGCAGGTTCATGTGGTGGCACAAAGCTAAAGAGCAACAAGGGACAAGTTTCTGATCTTTTTTCTCTTCTTTTCTCTTTTTGAGACAGGGTCTCCCTGTAGCCCCAGCTGTCCTAGAACTCACTATGTAGACCAGGCTGGCCTTGAACTCACAGAGATCCAGCTGCCTCTGTGCCACCACACCCAGCTAAATCTCTGATCTTACATGGCAAAGAACAGAAGAGAACTTAGCCACACTTGCAAGCCCTTGATAGTGTTATGAGTCTAGTCACCAGGCAGGGGGCCATAAAAGCTCCACTTTCAGCACTGGTTGTACTGAGGATGAAGTTGCCAAGGCCTGTATACATGTATGTGGGATCACATCAAACCACAGCAGGGTGTGTGTGTGTGTGTGTGTGTGTGTGTGTGTGTGTGTGTGCATGCGTTTCACTCTATGCAATTTTACCCCATGTATAGAGTCATACAACCCCAAAGATTAAAGTTCAGAGCTCTTCCATTACCATGAGGGAACCCCCTTTCTCTACTCCCTTATACCTTTATCCCTCTTCCCTATTCCTTGAATGGCTAATTCATCTATAGTTTTGTCATTTCAAGAATCTTACATAAATGAAATAATATACTATATTACCTTTTGAGGTTCAAAGGCATAATGCCTTTGAAATCTAGTTGGTCACATTATATAGCTTTTTTCCCCTTGTACAGTATTGCTTTGTATGAATATCCATTTTGCCTATTTAAGAACATTTTGCCAATTTTCTTTCTTTCCTTCCTTTTTTCTTTCTTCCACAAATAAATCTGCTACAGACATTTATGTACATTTTTCTGTGAATATAAATTTTCATTTCTCTTGTATAAAGGCCCTAGCCTAGAGTGCAACGACTGGATAGTGTTATAAGTGCATCTTTAGTTTTGTAAGTTACTGCCTTCCAGGGTGACTATACCACTCTACATCCACACCAGTAATATGCAGGAGAGGAGTTTCTCTACAGCCACAGTATTTGGGTATTATTACTAATTGTTATTTAACTGCAGTAGCTGTATAGATCTCCTTTTTGTTTTTAAACTTTCATGTGTGTGTGTACATGTGTGTGGGCATGCCATGTGGAGGTCAGAGGACAACTTGCAGAAGTCAGTACTCTCCTTCCACCATGTGGGTCCCTGGGATCAAACTCAGGTCATCCAGATTGACAGCAAATGCCTTTACCCACTGAGCCATCTTGCTGGCCCTTGTATTATGAAATAATTGATTCAATTTATTTGGCTGGTATTATGATAACTCAGTGAAAATTCCTGTCTTCATATTGCCTTCCTTAGTGTGAATTCTATACCTTATTTTATGTTTGTATTAATCTTTAGATTTAATATTATAAATCAGTATTTCCCCAGCTTTGAATTTACCAATGTCGAGTATAAGCAACCAAGCACATATTGCAGGTTTCTCTACCTGCCCTCATTTCTCCCATGGCACAAGCATACCTATCCCTAAAAATGATGTGCTTCCTGGAGGACAAGTCTTCTCTGCTGCATGCTTCTGTTTCTGTTGAGGGACGAAAGGACTGATGATGGCCCCACTGGGTACCTCTGCTTGGTCACACCCACAGCACAATTCTGGAAAGGATTGGCTTTGTGGCTAGATTGCTGGGGATGGAGACAGTGAGCAGGATGATCATAATTCTATGGGTTTGCTGTGCTTTTCTCTGTTTGAAGTTAACTGGTCTATGTGGTGACCCACAGATGCGGTAAAGTACTGCTGTGTTAGTTGCAAATTGAACACTTTACTTTCAAACAGAATTCAAAGCACACTTGACAGGCTGTTGCATTAAGTACTTACATGTCTGAGACAGAACAAACTAGATACAATTTACTTCCCCCCTCAAGTTCATGCCATTCTTTGTGAAGAGGCCCAAAGTACTTACTACTAGTCTTAGGGGATGAAATGGCAAGTAGGAAATAGAATCCAATTACAAAAGCAGCTTGTGGCTTCTGCTCTCCTCACATTTGCCCACAATCGCATCTTGAAAATGATGTAACTCACAGTTGCTATGGGTGAATGATTTCCTTTTGTTTATTTACTTGTTGTAAGATTACCTTTCTGGTTGATAATGGAATGTTGAGGTTTTATGGGGAAAGGGTGTCTAATTCTAAACTAAAGCTTTCCAATGTTTATTTCTCATTCTTTACCCGTGTAAATTATTTACAGCCTATATTGATAAATCTCAAAAATATACTGATGAACAAAAGAACAAAAAGAATACATATTGAATGGTCCCACTTATATGAAGTTCAAGAATATAGAAGACCCCAATGAAGTGACAAAAGTGAAACTAGTGGGTAGAGGCAGGGCCGCATTTATTAGCAAGCAGTGTGGAAGGCTTTTTCTGTCATTCTTTTTAAATCATCTATAACTTGATCTAAGTACTGTTTATGTAGGTGCATATTAACTAATCTGTATACTTCGGAGTTGCGCCCTTGACTATATATATATATGCCATTCTTCTTTAAAATTTTTTTTTATTTTTAAAATTTTATATGTATGCTTTGTCTGTGTGTATGTAAGTGCACCACATGCATGCAATGCCCCAGGGGCCAGAAGAGGATATTGTTGGATCCCCTGAAACCAAAGTTACAGACAGTTGTGAGCTGCCATGTGGGTGCTGGGAACTGAGCCTGGGTCCTCTGCAAGAGTAGTCAATGCTCTTAACTGCTGAGTCATCGCTCTAGCCCCATGCATTTCAATCAACAGCTGAAATGGAAAAAAAAATAAGAGTTTTGTGATAAAATGACAGATGATACAGATTTGGGGTTTTCATTTCAAAGTTTCCAGGTACTTGAAAATTTTCCAAACTGACATTTTCTCCAATGCAAGGAGCCACTTCTGTCATTTCTTTCCTCTTCTTTGCTCCTCCCAGATTCTTAACTTGCTGGATTTATGTTCCAATGTCATGCATATTGTAACTGTTAAATTAAAATATTGTGAAGTAGGGTGTGGAAGCAATAAACTCTATTAAGATCAGTTTAGGTTTCTAAAAATTCCACGATTCCACTCACTCACATGACATCTTTCATTTCTTTTTTTGAAGTTTGGATCCAAGGAATTTTGCATGCTGTGGGTTGACATTAGTTAATAGCATCTTTTACTGAGGTTCCATTTGCTAAATTAACATGATCAAGAACAGTGACCTAATGATATTTCTTTGCACATCTGGCTCTTTTCCAAAAAGAAGAGGAGGAGGAGGGAGAAGGAGGAATAAGAGGAACAGGAATAATTAAAGGAAAAAAAAGAGGAATCTAAAGCAAGAAACCAAATCTCCTTGGTCACCTTTCTTTTAGAGCAAAGTGTGTTTAAAATTTTGTAAAAATGTCAGATACCACCTTCTCATCAACAAAATGAGCAACTTTCCACCCACACCAAATCTGTATTTGTGGGCTGGAGAGATGGCTCAGTGGTTAAGAACACTGTTCTTGCAGAAGACCCGGGTTTGAATCCCAGTACCCACATGGCACATAACAACTGTCCCTAACTCCAGTTCCAGGGGATCCAGTTCCAGGGGATCCGGCAGTCTCTTCTGTCTGCAGGCATTGCACAAGGAGTGAGTGCACTTACATGCAGGCAATACACGCATACACATAAAATAAAAATAATAAAATACTTTTAAAAATCCGTATTTGCAAATGCCTGTTTGTCACATTTCTTCTTTACTTCCCTAATACTTTGTGTCTGAGATCCTTCTTATTAAGTAGTGAGAAAGAAATAATCGGCATACACAACCAGAGGAAGCGACTCAGTAGCTTGCATGAGGGGAATGGGATCATGTCAGGTTTTACTTAGAATACAAGTAGGGCTAAGAGGAAAGAAAGAAGGCTGGCATACGAGGACACCCTCAAGGCACATAGTAGATGCTTAAAGGCCCTTTTCTGAAATACATTTTTAAAGACTAGTGACAGAATGTACACATGATTTATATAACCGAGGAACAGCACCATAGGAGACCAGCATAGTGGACCTGCGTGGCATCTGACCCATTTCCTGCCGTTCACAAATGCTTTGCGCGGCATTTTAGTTAAAAGGGATGGATGTGTAGAACGTGAGAAATACGAAGGAAGAGTAAGATGACAAAAGAATGGAGTAGGCAGATATAAAAGCATGCTTTCTAGGACTAAAAGAGGAAACAGGCGACTTGTTTTCCACTCGGATGCCCCCAGCATCTCGGCTTGCTGAGCGGCCTAACGCAGTTGGCTGGGCCTTCAGCGTCAGGCAGGGACGTGGGGGCTCCCAAAGGCTGGGAAAGCTGGGCAACAGGTGAAGAGGTGGCAGACTTTTGTCTTCAGAAAGGAAATCAGGCTGAGCTGAAAGGGCGGAAAGCAGTGGAGCACCGGACGGGTGTCTGCAGGGTCCCCAGAGCTCTCGCCAGAGCCCCGGCTCCCCTAATTAGAGAGGGGATGCAGGGTGGCATTAGTTCCCAAACGTTTTAATCGAGCCTCCTTTCAATGGCCAGGGATAAATGTAGCCACTGTTACACTGTGGTGAATGAGTCACAGAAGCCCCCGCCGGCCCCCAGCGTGGCCATTCAGGGCTCTTTTCACAACCCCTTAGCGGTTCAGTCCCTGGGCCTAGCGACACTGCAGAGCGCTCCTAATTAGTCTAATTAGAAAGGTGGATTGATAGATGGAAAGAAGACAGAGCTGGGTTAGGAAGATGCTCAATGCTGCCAATCTTCGCTGGCTTGCTGTTTATTCTCTCCAGAAAAAAAAGGCAGCCAAGGAGGAGGTTAGAGCCGAGGTTCGGCCGCATCGGCTCACTGGCTGGGCGGTCTGAGACCCTGCGCCTCCCTCTCACAGCCAGGCTGGGCCTCGGGAGCCGCCGCTTCCCTGCGCATCCTCTCCAGGCCACGGCCTCGGGCAGAGCGAGGCGGGAAATCAAGACCGCGAGCAACATCAGGACCCTTACCCGGGCCAGGCGCCTCTGTGCCCTGCATCCATGCCCAGAGCTCCATGGGACCCCTAGGCCACTCATGGGAAGTCCACGCTGGGCCACCGTGCGCACGTGTCCCGATCGCAGCGCGTAACCGCAGGAACCCCGAGGTTCCTCCCTCTCCCGGGAAGCCCACAGCCCCGGGCTGGGGACCACGCGCGCAGTGACTGTGTGTCCCCCGCGCAGTCCCGCGCCCGCCGCAGCCCGCACCGGGAAGGAAGGGAGCCGCCCGGTGGCTTGGGGAGCGCTGAGCCTTTAATTAGGCTATAAATCAGGCCGGGGAGTTCTATGCAGTTTGTGCAGGTGTAAAAACAGAGGGGAGAGCCAGGGCTGAGGGGCCACAGCGCCCTGGCGGGTCAGAACCTCCAGCCAAACAAGTCTTGATAAGTCCGCTGACAACAAAATAAACAAAAAGGGACCCGCTGGCCTCGGGCTCCTCTGCTCGGTGGGATGGGACAGTGGGACGAGACAGTGGCACACGTTCCACCCTCGCATTTCCCGCGTTCCTGCGGCCTGGAATGTTGCAACGATGGTGGAGGATGGGGACGGCCACGCGCTGGGGCTGCCGGCGACCTTGCAGCTGTTGCAGAGCCGGTGTCTCTGTGGCCTCCAGCCGCCCACTCCTGCTTCATCCGGGGTGCTGAAGTTCGTGAAACACTGCCCAGCTCCTGGCAGAAGAAGATAACCAATCAAGTGGAAAGGACGCTCGAGAAGTAAGAAGTAATTCGGTACACGGCTCAGAAGCGGAACACTCAAAAACCCTATGGAGATGTTGGCCCCAGACGCAGACGGATTCACATCCAAAGGAAAAACAATACAAGTCCCCTTAGATCATTTTTCTGGACATTGTTAAAGGTTTGAAAGGGACCAAATCGGTTCAAAATGTTGCCAGTAAAAATTATCCTATGTGGAATGCAACTAATCCTTTTAGGTTCCTGTCAACTGTTTCCACAAAAGGAATCCGATTTTTCAAATCAAAGATCCAAAAGTCTTTGGGGAGAGATTTATTACATGCCAGAGCTTTAGTTACAGAATAGAGTTACAATAACAACCCTCACCCACCAACTCCCTAGAATGAGGGATCCCATCCCACATAATTCTAAAGACGTGTGGGAGATGGTTTTCTGGAGCCCTGCTATGTACGCAGCTTGGGGTGGGGGGCAAGGGAAAAGGGGAGGGAGGCATAGAAATATTAAATTCCTTAAATAGAAAAACACAGCACAGAGCGCCTCACTACTTTATTTTTGTCCTCTCTAACCCTGCTTGCTTTTGAAGAGGAAAACAAAATCCAAACTGGGTGACTTGGACCAAGTTTTCTTGGTGATGACAACTTTAAAGGTGAGGTTAATGCTTGAATTGAATTTAAAAAGAAAACCATAGGAAAAAAAAGTCTTGGTGGCCTGTGCACCCACAGTGTTCCGGAACCTGGACTCTAAGTTTGCAAATGGCATATTGCAACTTCTGCAAATGGAAAATTTTTATTTGAAAGTTTATAAAAGAAAAGATTTGCACCTTATTTAAAAAGTTCTTTGATTTGTAATAAAATGTTAAATCATGGAAGGAAAAAAGTGCTCTAGGGTTTGACAACTGTGTTTGTTATGTAACTCCTCATAAAGCCATGTAAATGTAACCTCAGTGGGTCCAGGTCACAGTCTTGGTTTGCAATAGTATAGGATAACCTATACTACTATATGATAACAACCATCCCCTCCCCCTTTTCGTTTCTTCCCAGAGAAAATGTGACAGCTAGGGACACAAAGTGACCCATCAGACAAAGCGTTTAAAAATGGGGCTGAAACTCAGATTCAGGGTTCCCTGAAGGAGTTTGGCCATTGCTTAGCTCAATACTCTGTAGCCACTTGGATTTAGGTGCTCTGTGAGTGCTGCCCACACAAGACATTGATGTCGTCAGGTTGTTTGTCCCATTGAAATTTTTAGTAATAAAAAAGGTGTCTTTTAATTGAGAATTGAAAGAATTACCTGCCCAGCCTTTCCTCCATCCCACTGTTTCCTGCTAAAATGGCTTGTTCTCTTGTTCCTTTCCTGTCCTTGGGTAATCAGAGACAGCTTGGTGTCTGGAATTCTGTTTCCTATATTTAAAAGACGAATGAAAGGATTTGCAATATAGCAGGTGTTCTATAAACAGTGTAGAATAATCCCACTTTTCAAAGACTGGGGGCTAAAGAAATGATTGGTAGATCAGAAGTAGGAGAAAGAAACATACCAAGAGGCTACAGGAATGGGTTTGAAACACCATTGGTTTGTTTATTTTAGAAAGGGCAAGAAAGTTATCAGTTCAAATACACATCTGAAGGTGAAACTGTGTCACATCTGTTCTCATTATTTCTTGAAAGAACTAAGTAGTAACTTTTTTCATAGATACAGATAAGAAATTTGAAGAACGGTGAGATTATTATAGGGATCCTAAAAGATTTCTGTAACTAATTTAAGGATTTAGTTATATTCCAAAGTTTGGATATTTTTCTTTTCCTTTCTTTTCTTTTTTCCTGAATGAGTAAGTCATGGGAAGAAGCTACACGGGGGTCATAATTCTTTACTATGTTATAAGCTTTCCGGAGCATTTTCACATAAATTATTTTATTCTCGCAAGTCACCCTCTGAGAAAAGGGAAAAATGAGAAAAGAGGAAGAAAGAAACCCATAAATGAGGGTGAAAACTGATCTTACAATTAATTTCAACCCAGTCTTTCTTTTATCGGCTTTGGAGATTGTTTGGTTTGTGATTTTTTTTCTCTATAATCAGTTATTTAACAGAATATAATCGTGCGCAGTTATTTTCATGTACACAAAACTCTGCCTAAAAAGGAAAAATAGAGAATCAAGTATTGTTTCCTTCACAAAAGTCCTTTCTTGTGCACTTTTAGGAAGATATCACTTCCTTTTATCATTGAAAATATTTTCCTATTTAACAGGTATTGCTAGTCAAGTGTGCAAAGACACTGCTGTCATCAGAATTCATCTGTTATCCTCACTTCTTTTTCTTTGTCAATCTGTTATTGATCATAATTCTAAGTAAGAGAAAATTCTTGTTCGGTGCCTGGCTCCCTCCGGGGCAGTGGGACCCAAGCAAAGCCCTGAGTCCTGGGATTCTTCTTCTACTGCTGCTCCTGGATCTGCTGGGCCTAGACATATGCATAAGCTTGCATTTGGGTTAACAGATTAGATATATCTCCCCACACAAGAAAATACCCTATCTTGAAAAACAACATCACTCTTACTTTACAAACAGAAAAATATCCTTCTGACTCATTTCCTAATTTCAAATTCAGAATTCAAACTTTCCAGATTGTTTAAATAAATATGCTGGTATTCGTTGAGTTGCTTTTATTTGGGGATGGTTTTGTTGTCTCTTTCGAAGTGTGGAGTTAAAAAAGAAACTGTCCTGGGATTTTTTGTTTTGTTTTGTTTTTGTTTTTTGAGGCAGGGTCTCACTGTGTTAGCCCCCACTGGCCTGGAATTTGCTATGTAGACCAGGCTGGCCTTGAACTCTGAGAGATCCACCTGCCTCTGTCTCTTGTGTTGGGGTTAAAGAAGTGTGCCACCACACCTGGCAGTTTCTGAGATTTTTAAAAAACATTTTCTCTAGGGGCTAGAGAGGTGGCTCAGCAGTTAAGAACACTAGCTGTTCTTGCAGAAGACCCAGGTTCAATCCCCAGCACCCACAAGGCAGCTAACAACTGTCAGTAACTCCAGTTCCAGGGGATCTTCTGTCCTCTGCAGGCATTGCACTTACCTACTGTTTCCTCATTGATTGCTAAATCTATCTGACTCCTTATATTATCTTTCTGTTTCAAAATGAAAAGAATGTAGCCTTAAGGCTTTTTGTAAGACCTGCTTAGCAGTTGAGAAAAAAGTTCTCAACTGGCAGATATTGACCATTAAAAAGCTACAAGAGAAGCAGAAATGGGTAAATAGTCAACTTGTTTGTAAATATAGTCAGACATGACCTGTTTGCTGATAGAAAAAAAAAGGAGAGGGGGATGCTAGGTGAGTGTCATGTAGAGCGTAGAGCTAGGTAGAGGAAGTGGATACCTCTGAAATAATTCACTGTCAATTCTAAATCCATCTAAAACAATAAGCTTCCTAGGGAAGTGGTGGGGGAAGAGAAAATGGTGAGTGTAAAAATGAAAAAAGTGTTCAAGAAATAAATGACTTCCACACTGTGACTGCTAAGCAACTCTCCTACCACTCTAGGGTTTAATCTCAATAATGGTAATGAAATAGCAATGCAGTGTTATGGAAATAAAATGGGATTTAAATGGTGAGGTCTGAGTAGCTATGACCTTGGGCAAGTCATTTAATCTCTTTTGAGCCTTGATACCTTGATTTGTAAAACAAAGTCAATAGTAATTGTTTTCCTCACTATTTCACAGTGAAGGTGAAAGATATTAGACTGTTAGTGGCCTGAGGTGGAGATTCAGTGGTAGAGCCCTTGCCTAGCTTAGTTAAGGCCCTGGGTTCCATGCCTAGCACTGCAAACAAATAAAATTAATGTTAACGATGATTAGTGAAGTATCAGTCAATCTTTCAAAAAAACAACAACAACAAAAAAAACAAATGTTCATGAGGGTACTGGCTAGAATAGAAAGGGATTTCTGGGGATGCAGATGAGCTCTGCCGCTTGGTCACACATGAGTTAAATGGTTGTGTTCAGTTTGAGTGGAAAGCTATTGGGACTTCTGCACGTTCCTGTATGTATATTATATGCCTCTAAAATTGTACTTTTAAAAGTCAGAGTAGCTCAAAGCAGATAAATTTTGTTTTGTTTTGAGATAGGGTGATCTGGTTATGTAGCCCAGGCTGGCCTCAAAGATCTTCCTTCCCTAGTCTCTGATGCTAGGTCAAAACAGTTTTTTACATTTAGGATGCAGTTGGTACAGACAGGAGAATTATAAACATGGATCAGTGGTAACTTATAGTCACCATTCCAGCTCCTAGCCATCCTCTCTCTCCCTAAGGTTGAGGGTTGGCTTACCATCATCAGTTTTGTCCTTGTAAGCTTAGCTTGTTGCTGACTAGGAAAGTTTCCTTGATAAAGAAGCTGCTGAATGAATGAATCAAGAAGTTCTCCAACTCCAGAATGGTCAGCAGTGAACAGCAGCCTAAGTTGTTCACATCCAGGGAAAGAGGGGATCAGAGAGATGTGATATGCAAAAAATTAGCTGAAAGGTGAATTCGGTTGGGAAAGTCTAAGCCCCCAACAGTCTAAGCAGCTGGTCAGGATCAGATGCTCCATCTTTCTGTCAAATGTAAGAGTATCCAAGTTGGCAGGGTATTTATTGCTAGATTTTACACTAAACATATTTACACATTTACATGCATGGCCCTATAAACACACCACGTTTCATTGGCTATGCCATCAAACACATTTGCCAACAAAAAACATATGTCTAATTACAGAATCATAGGGGAGAAAGAGGCAAGTGGCAGCTGATGGGCCCTGAGCATGCATGCATGCCTGTATGTGTGTGACTGGGCTGCACCACAAGGAAGCCAGCAGAAACTAGAATAAGAGCGAACAATGCTGTTCCCCAGGCTGGTCCCTGTCTGGGTCAGTTCTAAAGGGTGTGTGTAGGAGGGTATGGCATCCTGGCATTTCATTGTAGATGCACAGGAAAATGTCCAGAAGACGCCAGACAACAAACAAC